ATATATCATACTCCAACACTGTATAGGAACTCTGAGCTCAGCAGCTGAGGAAAGCGATATATATATCCTACTCCAACACTGTATAGGAAACTCTGAGCTCAGCAGCTGAGGAAAGCGATTACATATATTCATACTCCAACACTGTATAGGAAACTCTTAGCTCAGTAGCTGAGGAAAGCGATTACATATATTCATACTCCAACACTGTATAGGAAACTCAAATTATTCCGAATGAAAATTGATGATATTTTAAATGTGAATGTAATTGTCTCAGGTCTAAAGGGGCGAGTGAGAAGTTTGTGAATACTATCGGGTTTGATAATTTCACCAAGTACATGGAGCGCCGAATTGAAGTTATGTTTGCACAAGCAATAGGTCCTGTTTTGAAAAAGGTAGTAGGAATATCTTAGGTTCGAGCGCGTAAGATACGGAATAGGCCCAATTTTGTTCAATTTAGTTGAAAGATTTGAAGCAACAGAATTTGGAAAAGGAGGAGAGTATGAAGGACGAAATTGAAAATACAAATCCAGCGCAGATCGTCTCGACAGTGCGGGATGTGGGAATGAGTTTTGCTCATTCGTTGAATCACGTGATGGAGGGGTAGTAGAAGGGAATATATGCACATGGTCAACTACGGAAATTTTGGAAAATTTTCGGAAAATTTTCGGAAAAATTGTGTTTGGAAAAGTATATTCCAACACTGGTCGTGAGAGAGTCAAACGTGAAAGTATTGCATTTTCGGGAAGTAGGAATATGGGATTTTTTTAGAAAAAAATTAGGATTTTTTTCCTACGGGGTAGTTGAGTTTTGATCAAACACTAAACGCAGTAAGGCGAGGAAAAATCAAACTTAATTTTTTTCGTGAAAAAGGAATATGCGAAAATAAATATTTTCAAATTTTACTTCAGTGGAGTTTCACCACCCTAGTGATGGGAGAAACAGTAGTGAAAAACATGTTTCACTACTACTACTACTACTACTACTACTACTACTACTACTACTACTACAGGCCGCGAATATCGCCTAGTTTTTTACCGAGTTTTACGACGCCACTTCACATGAAACTGGTGAAACTCCATTGTATGTGTATTTTATTTCTCCAGAACGTATATTCAAAAAATGAGTTTTTCGGTGAACTTCCAGAAATATCAAATTTTATTTTCCACTTTTGCAATATAAGGAAAACTGTATAACGTTATTAGTATAATGTTGAGAAAATTGGGTATCACTGTTCGTGAACAATTCGAAATCAACAACAAGCCAAATTTTACACTTTTTTTACCGAATTTCACTCTGTTTCTAGCAGTTTCGTCCGAATTTTCACAATTTTTTCCTAGCAGTTTTGTTCGGATTTTACTCCTTTTTTTCTATCAATTTTGTTAGAATTCTACTCCTTTTTTCCTAGCAGTTTTGTTCGAATTTGACTCTTTTTTTCCTAGCAGTTTCGTCCGAATTTTTACAAATTTTTTCCTATTAGTTTTGTTAGAATTATACTCTTTTTTTCCTAGCAGTTTTGTTAGAATTTTACTATTTTTTCCTAGCAGTTTTGTTCGAATTTTCACAATTTTTTTTCTATCAGTTTCGTTCGCTCTGATGCGGGACGGTTGACTCTTGAGGATGAACTGATTGCATTCGCGGCGTATGAGGAGGTAGTATGACGATTTGGTCGGCTGGGAAGAGATAGAATTTTGGTATCGTTTTGTAGCAGTGTGGGAAAATATGCAGTTGGTGAAAGAATGGAAATTCTCCAGTTTTGTTGGTTTCTGTTCACTTTCGTGTAAATTTGTATAACCAGTGAGGGAACTGTTGAGCTCAGTAGCTGAGGAAAGCGGAAATATATTCCTTTAACACTGTTTCGTGAAGTTTGTACAGAATTGTGTATACTGGAGTTTCACAATCCGTTTTACGTGAAGTGGCGTGATACTCCATGTGAAAAACGCGTTATTCGCGGTGATATGCAGTAGTCGTGAAATATATTTATTTTTACTAGTGTTTTTCATATCACTTGGGTGGTGAAACTCCATTCGGATTTCAAATGATTTTCTCACTTGTAAATGCTCAGGGTCAAGGCGCTGATTTCACGATGCTGCCAAGTGAAGATTTTGCTTGTTTGAACGACTACATCGACTACTTGAGAAACGATATAAAAGTAGTAGTTGAGGAAATGCAAGAGTGAGCAAGATTGCAAGATTTGTGTATAGGTTCCTGCGTTTGATGTTGAAATTAACGGTGGAGCTCAGTTCCGAAGATTGATGTACGAAGTAGAGGTTTTCCTGAGATTTTCGGAAATCGGCGTGGAAACTAAAAAGAAGGATGTTATTCAAGCCAGAGGTGAGGCGAGTGGTATCACGCGTTGTCGGTTTTGGGGAAAAACGTTTGATAACAATAGAGTATCACCACCCTAGTAATATGAAAAACATATTTCACGACCATTGCATAGTGCGAATATCGCGTATTTCACCGTGTGTATTACGCCACTTCACGTAAAACGGGGTGTGAAACTGCAATGGAAAAAATGGTATGATGACATCTGCAGGGTAAAATTGATTAAAGAATGTGTTATTGATAATGCGGAAAATTCGGAAAGAAATTTTCCCCTGAGGAAAAGTATGGGCTCTTTTGGAAGACTTAATGTTGGTGTCAGTGTGGGAAAATATGCACATGGTCAGCAACATATGTTGGGTGAACATATGAAATTTCTGAGGAAATTTGGGGAAATTCTGGGTAATTCCTGTACATTTCTACCCTACTTTGTATATAAACTCCTATAATTAGTGAGGAAACCCCTAGGTTCAGCTGAGGGAAGCGGACATATATTACAACACTGGTTGGTGTTGCCGTCATGGTATTAGGGCAATAGCTGAGTTGTTGCCGATGTGCTTCGGTTTATCTATTATTTTATGGGAGTTTATATAGAATTAGGGACGAATTTTTACCCTAGTGATATGAAAAGTACTAGTGAAAAATATATTCTGCGAATATTGAGTTTTTCACAGAGTATCACGCCACTTCACGTAAGAGGGGATGAAAAAATAAATTCGGACCACGCATTCGTTATGCGAGAAATAGTGTATATCTCCACTGAAGACGAATAATGATGTAGAAAATTTTGGTATGTTTACCGCGATATGTGATTTTTTTCGCGGAAAATTGACATCTTTTTTGTCATTCAGGTGTGTCCATGGGCTCTGTTACTTGGCGAGATGTGGTGGTGAAGTTGCTGTGCACGGAGGCGTTGATTCCGATGAAAGCTCGAATACAATACGCGGGTGAGATTGTCAATTAGAATTTCGCGAGTTTTTAACGCTTATATGAAGTGGGAGTGAAATTGGTATGAAAATTTGCGGTCTTTTTCGAGATTAATGAGAATCGATTTGGAATTATATCGCATAAGCAATGGAGTTCCACCCGTGAAATGAAAAACACTGGTGGATAACATACTTCATATTTCACTTTGCGAATAACACGTAAAACACGTGATGTGTTTCATAGGAGGATGATGTGCCCGGTGTATTTACAATTCCCTAGTCTTTTTCAATGGAGTTGAAAATGAATCGCGAATTTTCATGAATTGAAAATCGCGATAATCGCGTTTTTCATATGGAGTACACGTAAAGTAGGTAAAACTCCAATGTAAAGATTACTATAAATCTTGATAATAGTAACCATTCGAGACTATGATAGCGACAAGTTGTTCACTATCATTGATCCCGAAATAGTAAACACACATTCTTCACATTTGCGTATTAGGTTGACACGCACTGTATATACTGTTGAATGTGAGAATTTTTTTCGTTTACTTTGAAGAAATCATGATTTTCCGGCGATGAATTTTTAACGAGATGAAAAAATATTTTTTTCTACATTTTTTGGGGAAAATCGATTCGCAATTTTGCGGTTTCTGAATTTATTTCATATACGGAAGAATTTTTGTTCGGAAATATATTTTTCATTTCTCAATGGTCGTTTTCGTCTCAGCCGAAAGAATCAAGTGGTTTTTCATATCCCAAAAAGATGCTGTCATTAACTTCATGTTGAGTATCAAGGGCTCGGCTGATGAACAGATGTTCTCTTCGTTGTATACGAAACATGTGAAATTGATGTTGGAAAACGAGATGATAAAACAACTCGTTTACAAAACTTATGATGACGCTTGCCAGAGGCAGTTGGAGCAGGTGAGAATCGTCTTGAAATTATGGTGATCGAAATATTTCTGCATAATGCGATAAATTATTCGTTTTACGTGACGTGTGAAAATCACGATATTCGCGGTGATATGCAGTGGCCGTGAAATATATTTTTCACTAGTGTTTTTCATATTACTAGGGTGGTGCAACTCCATTGTTCGTGAGATTTGTCATACGCTGTGGTCTTCGTGGTCTGTGTTCGGACCTATTTTGCATCTTTTGTCGTCATCATTGAGATATTTTCGCTCTCTTCGTGTATATATTTCCTTACGTATTCGACTATTGGAAAGTCGAATTTTTGTGGTTTTTGGTGGAATTTCCACAGGTTTATGAAAATCTTCCGGGTGCGCAATTGCGTATCTTTGATCAGTTTATGGAGTTGTTCGATAATACTCTGGCATCGACATTTTCCAATCCTTGGGTGTTCTTGAAACGCACATCTTCGGGGTTGGAAAATCTTGATAATGACAAAGACAAAGATGGAAATGATGATGATAGCGATGATGACGATTCGAAGAGCAGCAAGCAAGGGGATGATGATGATTCGACTGAAGACGGTCTTGATGATATGCAGTTGCCGACTTTTGATGACACTAAGAAGAGAATTCCAATGGAAATCGAAGTAAGTCAATGTTGAGACGCTCATCTGTTCATCAGAGTTTACATATGGATTTTCATGCAATAATGCTATAGTAAGTAAAATTGAGTATTTTTTTGGGTGATCTGCCTCACGGTGAGATGAAAACGGGCTTTTTAATTCATATCCAGTATGTTTTCGGACAGCATGCCTCGCATATTCGAGTTTTTCGTTGGCAATGAATCTTTGAGCGCACGATGAGGTTGCTGATGAGGTTGTTAGTATGGTTGTTCAGTCACGAAGTGGCATTGAAACGACTTTATCCCATTGGCTGAGTACAATTCCGATGGAGCCACAGCAGATTGATGAGGCGGTGGAAAAAGTGCAGATGTTGGTGTTGAAGACATTCTCATTCATCAGATCGCAGATATCTGATCAAATCGAATTGGTAAGGGAAAGATTTTCACCACCATTTTCAACATGGGGAGCCTCTTCTCATTGTGAAATTCCTATGAGTTTTTGGGGACTTCTTTTTTTCTTCTGGGTTCGTATATTCCAAATCATTCAAATGTAATTCTTCATTCATTGAGATCACTACCACGTCGTATAGTCTGAGAGTTTGCGTCGTGGATGGAATACCGTTGCTTTGAAATCGCCCTGTTGGATATTATCTGTTTCACTTCAGTTTGCGGAGTCATTCTTCAAGCTGCCGATGATGCGTAGGCTGGAGGATGATATGAGTAATATCCAGATGACCAACGTAGACACCGAAACCTACAAGGTGAATCTTTTAATTCTCGCGAGTGCGCGGGGGAGTGCTGAATTTCAGGTTCGACGGGAATATCTTGAGGGCGAGTTTAAGACCATTGAAGATACTCTAGGATCTTTAAATGAATGCATTGATAAATTGCAAGGATTCGCTTTGAAAGCTCAAACGAAGATGAGCAGGTCTTCAGGGAGCAAATAGATACACTGAGGCGACTTCGGAGCGTGCTCACTTTTCCACTACTTGAGAAAAATGTATAAAATGCAACGCTTCGCTCCGCCGGATGGAAACGTGATCCGATGCAGAAGTAGCGACGCTGGCGGTTTTCTCTTGCAAGTTCATCGGCGCCTGATTGTCGCTGGGAAGCATTGCAGTATTCCGAAAGTTCCTGTTTAATTACCTTAGCGGAGCGGTGTTGAGTTGAATGAGAGTGTGTGAAGAATAACTCGGGTCCGGATGGCAAAGACGCATAGTACAGTGCGCGTCCATTTGATATACAAATGTGTGTTATTATGGAGGACGAATTACAGTGAACGAGTTGTCGCTATCACAGCAAACGAGTACTTCGACCACAACAATGTTGTGACAACATATGTTCATAGCCATTGTTACATTGTATATGCGGTATAATTTCAGATTGGTTCTCATTGATCTCGGCAAATAACAACACGTTTGCATATCAAATTGACACGAACTGTAGGTTCCCTTGGGGGGGAGGTCCAGAGAAGTGAAAATATGTGACTCGACGAATGTACGGTCGATCTTACACAGGCCCTGTGTCACAGGGTGGATGTGCTTATAACATAATTTTCTAGAAGTCAGTCCGCCTGAACTGACATACATGGATACTAATTGCGCCCGTTGAGCAACGGTAATGCGGTAATGGCCCGTTGAGCAATCCACCGACGGCATTCACACGCGAATTCATTCATCTCTGAGTGAGGGAAATGTGACCTTCCATGCAGATGGTCTCACCAGAAATTCTGAAATCACACATACCATAACGTAGTCATGACTTCGTTAGCGCTCCTCAAAGTTTGAGGCTCAAACTCCAGGGTTGTCGATTTCATGGAAATCGCAAGGCCATTTCTGAAATTGAAATTTCATACGGAAATTTCCATGAAATTTGTTTCAAAGGTGGAAAAAAAAATTCGCTCCGCCGGATAGTATCCGGCGGATACCTATCGCTATCCGGCGGAGGTCTTGTTTCTCTAGAAATCTATGCTTGATCTTGTCGAAAAACTCCTTCAAACAGAGTTCCCCAGTTTCTCTAAAAATATCAGTCCTGATCTTTTTTACTTCTTCATATGTGAGTGACTTGTACCCCGGATGAAGCGAGCCTAGGAGCGCACTGGTGCTGTTAGAAGTAGTGTCTCTGAGACTCCAGTTCATAGCCGTAGCCAGAGCAACAAGATTCTCATGAAATGATCCCCAGCTTGCACCTTAACGAAGAAGTCCGAAATCTTGGGAGCAAACTTGAGGGGAGGAATCCTCCCGGAGGATCGCTATTGGTGCTTGCTGTTGAGGTCATCATAGAATACCTTCGGAGTTTTCGACACTTCTTGGTAGGGGGTGGTAGGCTACCACTGGTAGCAGACCCAATTCGGCCCAGTGATCACGGCGAACGTGGTCCCTTCGATGAGTAGAGTTGTCGAACCCCTGATCCCACCCACACCGTCAGATGAGCGTATTTTGGATCTTATCATCAGCAACACTCTCCTCTGTAACCGTGAAGAATCTTCAAAGGGTTGAGCTAGAGATAAAGACGTCTCTTTCATCGGAGACCACGTCGTCATTCGGCTGATCCAACTTGGGCATATATCAACAAATCTGTGTAGTAGACTCGGATCAATGTGAGTGAACTCCATCCTGACTATAACAGAGGCTTCTAGAGAGCTACTCTAAGCATTGAAGATAGCATACCATGTTGACAACATGGACCATGTTGAACATGATGTTGTATACCAGCACACATGAAATCACCATGTTGTGAAACGGTTATGACATCTGGCGCGTGTCATTTCGATCGATCTCTCCGTGAATCGGTCCTGATCGCGTATGCGGTGGTCGATTCGTTATGTCTTGTATATCGTCTAACTGAATAATTGTTTTCGGAGCTTTCGGAGCACTAGGGATAAGTTCAATGTTTGTTAATCGTCTTTTTCCTAAAATTTCCTTCAAAATATGAAATACGTATAACATATTCATACGTGGAGCCACTCACATCCGACTTCTTTGAGTCATCTTCATAATAATCATCGTCATAGATCTCGACCAGCTCACCCGCCGTTGAACTCTTCAGCTTCTTTCTTGGATTGCTGAACTCGGCCTCACAGAATAGGCGACATTCAATGTGCGCAGCCGGGCCTTTCCTTAACAACTTGACGATCTTCGCAGGTGGGATGATATCCACAGGGATAGTGCCCACTGCATCCGTCAATTCGGTCACCAACCCGAAAGTAGGACATCATCGTCGACGTCCTTTTCCCTCTCAGATCTATTCTTCATAGGATCGACCTCATGCGCCATCTTTAACCATCTCCTGGTCTCCGTGCTTAGTGCCACCGCGTAACACTTCAACTGCATCAGGAGACCGTCATTCATCTGCACCGGAGTAATGGTGGCCCGGGTCGACCCACGGTGGGTCGTATTTCATAGTCATATTTTCACTTTTCGGGGGCCCTTGGTAGCGCCCGTTGGGATGACCATTATGGCTGCGAAGAGTCGCGGGCTCAGTGATAAGATATGGCGATGAACTTGACGATGACAATGAGAAGAAAGTACTGAGGGAACCATTTACAGTAGTTCTGTTGTCGCCGCCTTCCAATGAGAACGCAGCTCAAAGTCTACAAAAGCACCATCAGAAGCCGACTCTGACGCTGGCAGTACATACCCGGATGTAGCACTGCTGGCGTACGAGCGCTTTATACTTAGCTAGTAGTCAAGTCGATAGTCAGAGGCAGAGACAGGAACAGGTCAGTAGCCATCTTGGCTGCAGTTGTACTCTTGCCGCGAGAGTCTTGCGTTGATCAAGTCCAATGGAGAGTCCAATAACGGCATCGGGCGAGCCATCTGATATCTCCTTCTAATGATGAAAGTCGCTATCGCATTCACCGCCCTGTTTCGCTTGGACAGCAATCGCTATGGAATCAATAGCTGCCTGACAGCACTCTAGATGCGGCACCAACACCTCATGAGAGCGTCTCACAAGGATGGAATCCAGAGGCTCCACTCTCTGGGCCCCAGAGTCTGGGGCCGGAAGTTCCCAGGGCATCTTGGCACGTCGCCCTCATCATGCTCCTTTTCTGCCTCTTTCTCTCATTGACGTCAGCAGCTGGAGCTTTATGACCTAGGTGAAGTATCGCATCATACTTGGTCACCAAGTATGATGCGAAAGTAATTGCCACCGTGGCAAACTCCGACCAGCTAAGAGCACATGCATACTATGAAGGGTGGCTCCGTAATGCTTGCTGCGTCTTGTAATTCACCGCCTTCCACGCCGCTAGTGCAGTGACATGGCGACGATGTATGTGAGGATGTATGTTAACTCCAGATGAGTCAACTACAGATCTTCCTCGTAGATCTACTACGCCACCGCGTAAAAAGGGTGAGACTCCAGTGGAGTTTCAGGATCGTCAGTCCATCAGGGCCCTACCGCAATGATCACACTCTCACTGCCGCCTAGTTGCATTATGCTGCACCTTCATGTTTATTACCTTGGGCTGGGGTTCCCAGGCTGGGAATCCCAGCGTTAGGGTACTGCATTACTGTATGGTCACCCGTTAGCGTTACTGTTCGCCGTTGACAGTAAGCGTCTCCTCCACATTTATCATTCATTTGTTCATCATCATCTTTCACTAACTGCATTTGTTTTCGATCCCTCGATAGTCGCATCGCGGATGCTGCTTCGCGAGTTCAGCTACCAAATCTGACAAGTTCGGTTTGTGCTACAGTGAGAGCCCCTGGCAAGCAACGGATGTCCGCATTATTCCGTAGCGACGTGTGAGCCTGGGCCATTATCTGTGATGGTCAGGGTATCCCAACGACGATTAAGGTCCTCAAGTAGAGAGGTGCAAAACGATGAGATGTTGCGACCAACCGGTGCTCAGCGTAAGGAGCCGAGTTGGTTTCGTGGGTGTCCTCTACCCAACAGCATCCACAATATTGTGGGATAAGAAAGCTGCTCCTATACCCGATGGTTTCAAAGCGTAGCATTTTGCTCCTGTTCGATCTCATCAGAAGCCACTGCTGAAAATGATTGAAATGCAATGAGAGTCTATCTGCAGCTTCACTCTTCAGCGCTTCTCGAACAACAAAATAGGTTGAGCGAGTCTGCAGGTGAACAAGTTGGATACCGCGCACAGCAACCCGCAGGTCTGCATACCGATACAGAGTAAAAAAGACCTGCGCACATCATGAACGTGATATTGAGCAATGATAAGAAAAGACAAGAAATTGGTGAATATACGGATGTTTTAGTGAAGATGATTCGAGGTTCTCACAACACACGCACGGTTCAAAACAGTCCAGCATAGAGGCGGGGAGACGATATTCACTGACCTCATCGCGTCTGCAAAACACAGATCCATGATCAGTTTCACATCTCAAGCTTCTCGTCTATATAGGCGCGGACGACACACTCGTTGTAATCTTTTTGCTCACCAGGAGAATCATAATATCGGTATGCGGCCAAGAATTCCCCTTTATGTATCTGTACCACTAGATTGTATGGGTCATCGTTATGCAGCATGCTGAATATATCTCAGGCCGTCCATCGGCTTAGGGTGGCACGAATTATTTCCTTCCAATTATTTCCTTCCATTTCCTTCGGAAAGATGAAGGAAATTTAGAAAATTCTTTCGAGCAGGAAAAATAGGAAAAATAAGGAAAAATAAGGAAAAATAAAGAAAAAATTCCCGAAATGACCATAAATCGGCACAAAAATCCCAAAAAACAAGAGGTCTCACACCAGGTGATGTCTGGGATATATGCCTGTGTTAGTCGTCTCGGTTAGACTGAGTATAAAGAGACCTTGTTCGCCAGGATGATCAAAGATTTTTGTGGCGAGCGAGAATTCGATTCGCACTTTCACTGGAAGGTCCAGCTTGCGGTTTCGGACTGAAACTTTCAGTTATTGCATGGCACTTCGCAATGCGAAGTTCGCATCATGATCATTTTATTCGAGCGGGAAATGCTGCATTCCCAGTGGGAATGCAGCATTCCCCCTGGGGGAATTTCCCACAAGCATAAGACGGTGGAGTATCAACGTAGCATACTCCAAAACAAACGGATAGGTATCCCTGACGCAACATATAGGCAGTGGTTCTGGAACCGGCCGCAGGCTCACAGTATGAGGCTCTGAACTAGTCAGTAATCACCGTTACCAATAGACTGACGTTCGCACCTCGTTTCGCATGGTAAGTCAGTGTTCTCGTCTGCATTTCTTGCTGATACGAGCGGCCGAACCTGTGAAAACGATCGAAACTGGAAGGCTTTGTTGGTTACTAGAAGACAATGTTGGCCGCCCCATGGACTGCCCATGAACTGAAACGAAGGAATGCAACCATCAAAGGATCAATCAAGTAATGCTCAACGACAGCTCTAATCACCGAGCGTTGCGTTACAAACTTTCCTATAGAAAGCGCGCTTGATCAGCCGCAGCGGCTGAGCTTTAGCGCACGCCCTGGTCTCCTCCAGTGTGGATATCTCCCATATCTTGTAACGCTTTCAATTTCAATCAAGCTATGAAACATGATTAGTAAGTGCAAATCATCTGCTAGCAGCCCGACCGAATAAGACGATGACGCTCTGGCCTGGCAAACCTGGCAGGCCAAGCGAAAAAATTTATTTTTCCATATTTTTCCGTATTTTTCCTTCAAATTTCAAATTTCCTTCCGAAGGAAATAATTTTTCTATTTTTCCTTCCGCGTGCCACCCTACATCGGCTCAGACTGTTTGATAGCCGTTGTCTTGGTAGGGTCTTGCTGTGGTTACTAACCTGTGTGAGAGATGTCTGTAAGGCAGAAGATCTGACCGCTCTGCTCAGCGAGCTCATGGTTCATCTCCAATGCTCTGGCTTCCATCGTTCTTGATTACGGTATATCTTGCTATGAGTGTTTATTCGATGTGGGTCTCCAACCGAGAGGAAGAAATTCCAGGGGATGGCAACTCCTGATGCACAGAATTAGGCAAGAAGAGCCCTGCGAAATGATTTCGCCGAAATCTAGGATTTCTGCCGATGGCAAAACTCTGTGAATAACGTTGAGTCACTGACCTCAGAACCTTACAAAGGTACTGTGCTGATATTCGTCCTGTATGCGATCAACTCGACTTAACGACCTGCCGAGTCGAGATGATCGTTGTATTTCCTCAAAGTCTGATATTTCTGAGGAATCATTCCTTCTAGGGTGAAAACCTATCGTATGACTTTTGTGGTTGCCATGCGATAGACTGAGTCTTGGCTGACGCTCTCCGGAGCGTCATCGCACGATATTATTCCGAGGTATCCTGGAACTTCAAGTTGGACCTGCGAGAATTCCAGAGGAATGCAAGTGGGTGATATCATCAGTCATCTTCAAGCAAAGTCGCAGGTTGGCTGCCACCGGTTGACATACGAGAGGTGTCGGACAACCGACTCACGGTGGCTAAGTGGGGCAATCTTAGAGTCCGCTCTTGAGAGGACAGAACATTCACTATAATGAATTTAGTCAACTCAATTGATGGCTCCAGTCCGATTCAGCAGATTTTAGCGTCCTACTTCTGCATACACGAACAAGAGGATGAGTAGAACTCACCGTCATCACAGTCGGTTGTGTCACGTGCGCAAAACTGTGTTGTGCGCTCATCACGTGACACTAAATTCGTGGGCGCACAGCCGTCTGGCAACTGGTATTACTCAGTGAGTGGCAGAACTTCCTGAATCTCCCGAGTGGTTCATCAACCAACATCTCTGCTTCGTAACCCCAAATACTCGACGAATTATTACTTCATCCACTGTATGAAATTTGTATAATATTAATACACGGAGTCGGCGAGCGATATCCAGCCGTTTCACCAGGGCCACTAAACTCCGCAATTAGCCGCCTTCATGAGACTCTAAGTTCAGTTACCACTGATGACGCTTCCCACGTGTCTATCCATTATCTTACATTACTCTACTGCCTACAGATATTCACCCTCCACCCCCGTACACTATGTTAATGATCTGTAGCATCATCATCACTGTCATCATGGAAGCATCCAGTCATAGCTGGGTGATCAATCTGGTCGGTGACATCAAGGCTGGTCTGCCGAGGATGGGTCTGACTACACACCAGCATCCCGACCAGTATTACGCGGTGAGCACCACCACCTACTTGCGTGAAGTGGCCCAACTATCTCTGCTTTTCAGCGACCAATGTGTCCCTTGTCATCCCTTGATCAGTGCATGGGGTTGCCACCACCATATAAGCCTCTCGATGAGAGCTCTCTCCGCCCATGCAGACGCGCTGGCACCACCGGTGCAACCAATATGCACCAACGTGCTGAGGTTACCCGAGGCAAGTCAATACACCTCCTGCTTCTCAGAGTTGCATCTCATTCAGGGTCGAAACTACACGTCTCCTGGATGGGCAACGGACACACTAACTCTGTCTCTGATGGTATGGCTGTATTGTGTCGTCTCCCTCACATTCAACGTATCAGGTACATGCATCGTATTCAAGATAGCTCCATACGCCGAAGACCCTTCATGGGAGAATTTCACTGTGTTGGAGAAGTGTCTACCATTTTACCATACGAACGTTGCTAAAGACCCAACCTCGGCTGATATCACCATTCCGGCTGATACCGAGCCCGGGATCTACACCGTTCTCTATATGTGGTCCAAATTTGATGGTGTTTATTATGCTACTTGTTCGGATATAATCGTACATTAGCAATGATGATTCAACTCTTCCTACACTCGTCCTATTTCAATGCTTACCTTTTGATTTTTTTGAAGATTTTCTTGATTTCATCTCCTTCACTGACACTCCTTAGAGAGTATATTTGCACGTGTTTGGTCCATATTTCCGAGTATAAAAACAGAGTTGAATTAGTTGGGATTATGCACATTGTCAACAAATGAATGTTTTAAAAGTGATGTGAATACATACAACTTGATATATCGACACTCACTGTACTACCCTTAAAAACCTATCACGAAATATAAGCGCAATTGAGAAATGAAGTGCAATCACTTAACGGTCGGCCTCACGAATAGACAGAAGTCTGTGTTGACTTCATGCTCCATCGGAAGTGCTGAGGATGTATATGCACTAAGCTTGAGTAGACTCTCATACCGTCCTCATTATAGGGCGATGCATTTCAGTCTACTTTCCTTTTAGCCCATAATAATAATTATCATCATCGTAATAGTCAATTCGAGTTCAATCCACTTCGGGATGAGACCCTTTCGACCAAAAATGTCAAATACCCACGGCGACTCCGAAAAATGAGGTTTTATACTCAGCAGCGTGGTTCATCATCACTGATGGATTTCCGTTCGGAACAGCGATCAATTCATTTGTGAGATCCTCGACGATCCCCTCGTAAACGACTTACACGATGATACATAAACCATCATTAATAAACCCAACGAGACCTACGTAAATTGAGAGACCAGTGTAAGCTCATCCACCCACAGCTGGGCGTAGCGCTTTTGCTACCTCTCCTTTGCTCGCCATAGTAGGATGGCCCAAAGTGAAGTAATCGTGTTTTAAGAGCTCAGCACTCGATGGTCGGGCTGTTGGATTCAACATCAACATACCTAGCACATGCACATGGACATACGACTACTATTAAGTTCATGTTCACTTTTAAGGAATTCATCCAACTTATCCGATTCTCTGCAAGCATCCCCGAACATATCCCGAGGCCAATTATCAGGTTCGGGTAGATAAGCAAACTCATGGAAGCTAGGGAGGCTGGAGGCTTCTGGCCAGGCCTGTTCTGACGGAGTACCGAGAAGCTCCACGATGGCCTTGAGTAGATCAACCTCAGAGGGAACCTACAAGATTACACTACAAAGGATTGGTGAAACAATAGATCAGAAAACAGTTTTGGTAAAGTTCATGGCTATCATGAGCAGCCGAAACGGTAACGGTTTCACGGAATATATTTTGGCGCGCTCGCCATGATGATGATGATGTTACTCACAAGGGTCGGCATTCAATATACCGATTTCGAAACTCAGAATCATTTCCAGAGCCGCTTCTTACACTTCCTATGAGATAATACTAGAATCGATTCTGAATTGGACAAGAATTGATTCAATGAACATGGTTACAGAATACATGTGTATCGCTTCGGTCATGTGAGTTACCGAAGCGACACACTTCCACGATGTTTCGAATGAGAGTAAAAATTTCATGTTTGATATCCTCGCCTCACTAGACCGAACATATGAGTTTTACCGACAAAATTTCAACGGGAATTATTCGAACTAGTGGGAAAACACTTCAGCCTCTTCGTACGCGTAAACCCTGAGTTTTGAATTCAACTGTAACCAAATATCCTGACTTTACAAACCCTGATTCTATTTCTCCAATAATAATCACCTGGAAGAGTGGGGCCCTGCGTTTAACAGTACTCGGTCGACTCCTTTCCCCCCGAGGTAGCATTTCTGCCATGAGTGTACCGATAGACCAGATGTCGACTGCTGGAGAGTAATAGGAGGATTCAAATAACAATTCAGGAGCTCTATACCACAACGTGACCACATTGAAGGTCATGTTGCCTCCGAACGACCGCTTAGACTGACCGAAACATCCCTGAAAACAGAAATGATCAACAAATGATTATAGTAGAGCAGAATTCCATTTCAAGGAAGAGTTCGAAGCGATGTGATGTAGATGTCGGACGCGGGTATAGACCCCGGGACCTTACGTTGTACAAACTAACCTACTAACTACCCTCCCAAAAATACACACACCAACCTAACCGTGACACTACATCACAAAGATCGACACTCATCAATGGCGATTCAGCAGAGCTCAGGAAAGGGAATATTCGCTTCTCACCGGAGGCGGTTGGCCAAGCTGCCTGGCGAGACCGAAATCGGTTAAACTGAGCGTTCCAGTGTTGATATCACACAAGACGTTGCCAGATGACAGATCCCGATGGACGAACCAGACATCATGGAGAGCCTTCACGCCCGACACTATTTGGTATACCATAGCCTTAATACATGGTAAAGATAAAGTAACATTCCTCGAACCTGAAAATTACCATTCCTGAAACGCTTCGCTCCGCTAAAATAATTTACTTAGGACTTTCTTCAGATCACAATGCATGAACTTCATGACCAATGACAATTGAGGTTGTTTGTGCCTAGGGGTTGCCGTAGATGCCGACTCCTCAGCTGATGCCTCATCCTCGTTAATTGATGCGAAAACCTACTACGATGACTTCCTTCAGGAGAACACCTGTAGGGTATAATAGCGAGTCTCAAAAACATGATCATATTCGGGTATTCAGCTTAGCCTCCAACATTGGCAATCATGGTTGAATGAAAGAGCAACTCTTCCATGTATCAGGCAAACTCTGCAGAATTCTGATGCCCCGAGGAGCAAATGGTCTACATTTTCGTGGCGCGCGACAAAATGACCGTAGGATTATTACATCGACCAACGACATGACATTCTCGCTGTGAACAGCTTTCATGACCTTCATCTCCCTGATACACGTAAAGTGTATTCCTCCAATGCCACCACCACTTGTCCCTGCACGCATGCACATCTCGTCATCTTTTCCCTCCCAACCCGCTCACCAGCCGATGCTGCTGCCGTCTTCAGCCTCTTTATTGCGACATCCTCGCCATTGGAGAGGTCCTTGGCCAAGAACACCTTACCGTACGTTCCCTCACCTACTCGTCAATTTAACTCTCAGCGGAGCGAAGCATAATATTCATACTGATGAACTTTTCTATTCGATATCTCTTCCTCCCCCGCAACTCGTGATGATGGTGATCCTCCGTTACCATCACAATGACAAATACCTACAAATCAAAAATCTGATACTCCAACTGTTAACGCAACACAGTAGGACCAACTACATCGTACCAATTGCTAATTACGAACTTCAACAACAACAACAACAACAACAACAACAACAACAACAACATCAGCTACGTTCAATATTTGCAGGGGCTTGCCCCTCTTTCACTTGCATCATTTCTTAACCTTCTTCGCATTCGATTTCCTCATCGTTGCGCTAGCTCTCTTTTTTCCGCCAACATTCGCACTATCTGGAAGCCCTATCGCTAGCGACCACAGCGAGAACATATCGAGATCATTTCAGAAAATCAACCACTAAAATGTTAATTCCACCGTCTGGATATGGTAGAAAAGTTGATGCGAAATTGAAATCATTTTTGATGAGGATATTCTTCATATAAACGATGAATGCTCTGATTCCTCCAATTTCTACCATAAAATGATCAACAACCATCGTCCTGGTGAGGGCCTACTCTTCTTCTTTTCTTTTTTAAACGGATATAATTTATCCTCTTTTTTGATAGCCGGCTTAGTCGTTTCAGAGAAAGTGTCTAATCGCATTTGTGTCTTCGCTCGTTTACACTTTTTCAGTCTACTGATGTACCTACACCACATCCATGAGAATTGACTGAAGAACAAATATCAGCATCAAAAACGACCTCACCGAGGATCGAACCTGCGCCCTCATCCTACTTCTCTACTCGATCTTCAGAGAACTGATTATCGTCAACTAAGAACTTCTTCAAGGCTTCATAATCTGGCGTCGGCCATTTCAAATCGACATTTTCTCTTTCCACTGCAGGAGCCTCGAGGAAATACTTCCTAACCTGAGAGAGCGCGCGATAAATCAAACAACAATCCTACTTGTTTATAATCCCTTTCAGACCAGCTTTCTGGCACTGTGAACTTGGTCTTATCAAGATGATCGAGTACACCCTCGATGCTTTTGTGCTCTTCTATCGATTCGAACGCGTTATTCGGACCTGATAGAGAAGTTTCACGCGCCCTCATTCGAAGTGAGCGACATCAAAGCCATCTAGTTCTACCAACAATAGAGCATCAACCAGCAGTGCATACGGGAGCATTCAAAGTTTCAAGTCGGAAAATGCCACTGCCCAGGATTTGGCCTCTGATACCAATGCCTCTAATGATGTCCAGATAATCGCAGCCGTATATGATGCAGAAGTCAATGAGCTGCTCCACCGTCATATCCAACTGCTCCGGTACAATAGGAAGAGACATCTCGTAAACCTGTGAAAGGAAAGTGTTTCGCTCCGCTAAATCTAAATTTGCTCTGACATTGTCAGAGGACTATAATATTCAGAATAGATCTACTTGTGGGGCCGATATGCCAGAGGACTATACTATTCAGGATAGATCTACTTGTGGGGCCGATATGCCAGAGGACTATACCATTTAGGATAGATCTACTTGCGGGGCCGGTATGCCAGAGGACTATACTATTCAGGATAGATCTACCTGGGCGGGGCCGCTATGCTAGAAGACTATACTATTCAGGATAGATCTACTTTTGGGGCCGCTATGCCAGAGGGCTATGCCCTCCAGAAAAGATCTAACTGGGGGGTGCTATGCGAGGGGATCGGTTCCAGAGCTTGGATTTCTCATACGAAAGTGAACACACTAGTATGGCGTTAGGACACCTATAATGTTCCCGCGGGAACTCATCTTGTATTTGCCACATGATTAAGAATATATTCTTCAATCAGCTTCCCACGTGAATGTCATCGCATTAGAAATATTTTCTCCATTACTACCAAACCCTGGGGGAACATTATTTCTCAAGGATGCATGGATACCTGACTCCCATAGGTGCATCGTATTATCAACGAGCGTAGAGCGCCTTCCGCATCCCTCTACCCCCTTCCCCTACCCGCCTCCATCATCCTCAACGTTCTGGTGACAAACCCCGATATATGAGAGGTCACATCGCCTGCTGCATTTGATAAATTAACATGTTGATTATCTCCACCCAAACGAACAGCGATCAGAAACTGAACATAAAAACGGGACGATTCACGCTGTCCCAAAATAGATGATCATAAAATGCGAGTCAAATTACGGGACAGCAAGGCGTCCAACCCTTGCCATTGAGGCAAGTCGTGAATCAAATTGGTCGGAAAGTAAGTCTCATACCGTCGGATTTCACTACACTTCTCTACAACATCTTTTATGTAAAATAACATTTACCTGATAAAGGCACATACTGGCGTCCAATGCTAAACTCTTCCCAGGGTAATTCTCCTTCTTCTGCTCACTCACTGACTTCGGAGCATTCTCCGATACGAACTTGGAATTTCCAAGTTCAAACAGCTTTCCAAGTTGGAAAGCTGTTTGATTCCCATTACAAACAGTGATAATACCAAACTGGTAACATCTTGCTATATGCATACAACGCAATCTTCTGGTAAACTACGACAATTTACGTTGAGAAAAAGACTGAGAAAGACGCAAGATTCGTCAAGATTCCTAGTGAGGCCGCACCGATAGCAGCACAGTGGACTGATTAAGACCACTCGGACTCCAACGCCTGGCAGCAGATACACACATGCAGTTGGTTAGGAATCTTAGCATCACTCGACTAAGATTCAAATTAGGTCAACTTCTATCTCTCAGACTCTTAAAATCTATCATCATGGCAGACGTTTCCTTCGGTGTTGGTATCCTCTGTACTCTACTAGCCGCCTTCTTTTTCGGTATTCAATACGTTCCCTGTAAACAATACACCACTTACGACGGTGCCGTATTTCAATGGTTCATGTGTAGCGGGATCGTCTGGGGAGGCATCTTACTTCAGCTCATCCTCATGCTCGCCTTCGACTGGCCTGGTCCCCAAGTCATCCTCTACGGTGTATTATCCGGAATGCTCTGGGGCTCAGCCAACTTCCTTGTGATCCCTCTAGTGCGAATCTGCGGCCTCGCCCTGGGCTTTTCCCTATACCACATCATCAACCTCTCCTGGGGGTATTGCCTAAGTCGATTCGGCTTGTTCGGAATGGACCAAGACGTCGGGCGAATCCCCGTCCTCCGAGACGTTGGAGTATTCGTCCTCCTGGCCTCATTCATAATGTTGTTCTGGGTAGAACCTGAAGAGGCCAAAACAACCACTCCAACCTCCCTTAAAACGAAGGAAAGACCATCACAGAGCTCCCGTCATAAGAATCCCCCAACGACTAGCGGTGGCGAAGAAACAACTCCTCTCGGTCAACCCGAGGTAGCTGAGGTGGATAACAACCCATCAGCTGTTGGTCGGAAACGTCTATTCGGTATGAGTCGCGGACAAGCCATTAAAATAACAGGCAAGTTCCTTTGAGGTTCGTCACTTCTCGCATTTTCTCACAGGAATAGTATTGGCGATAGCAGCTGGTATCCTGACAGCCATGAACGGTTGGCCGTATGCATTATGGACGCAAACGCAACAAGGGAAGGATATGATGGCGGTAACTCATAGGGACCCAAGATTTACACAACGTCTGACGATGTGATTGCGAATGAAGAGAATTGAAGATAACTTGTTTGAAATAGAGCATTTGACAAGTGACAAAATTCGCAACGAAAAGGTTAAATTTTCGAGGAGTCTCGAGAGTCTAACTACCCTGCATAAAAGTTCGGTAAACATAGTCGTCCTGTCGGGTGAACTTGGGTCTTCTTGAAGCACGACGCTCGTTCGTTTTCAGGTTCAATTCGTCTTTTCGCAGACCATCGGTATCTACTTTGTTTCCAGCATTTGGTATTGGCTATCCTCAACCGTCCGACAATTCGCTTTCAAAAAGCGTACCAATCATTCAGTTATCCGTCCAGCTTTCATTGCCGGTACTGGGGATCGAACCTGTGCGGGTTTTAATACTGTGGGTCTCAGGTCTGTTCTGGGTAATTGGTGATGTCAACATGCTATATGGCATCGATGGTATCGGCTATGCAGCAGCTTACACTCTAGATGCTGTTGGGCCAGTCATGGTTGCGAGCATCCTCAGTCTTTTGTGGTTTAAGGAGATCAAAGAAACGAGGTGGGAAAAATGCCTCTGCCGGGATTCGAGCCGTAGGTCTCCCCCACTCCTCAGACAGCGCATATGGTTTGTCGCTTCATTCGTCACTCAAGTCGCCGGCTGTATAATGGTAGCGGTAGGTGCCTAAAGGTACGTCTATTCTATCAGAGTACATTTCCCAAAGAAGTGGCATCCAAATCTGCGCGCACAGGGAAGGATATCCTCTATGAACTTTCCTTGTGTAGCCTGTAAATTTGTAGCCGTTGTTCTATTCAATCAGCGGAGCGTTGTTTGCCGAATACATTGAAGATGCTCCTATAGTGTCCTATGTTACTACTTTTCTCAACCACCAACTTATTAACATCATATCACCTTTGCTCACGTTTTCCATCGCCGCCATGTGGTGTTCAGCTCAGCTTTCAATTCCCCGATTGAGTGACCGCTCTTCCAACTATATGACAGAAGATGAAGACAGAAAACTCATATGTGAAATATGTTCCCTTTTAGGAAAAAGCCATCCTGGAGATTCTAATCAGGACCTTGAGAGGTAAGCTGCCTTATCGAGATTGCGTCGTTCGGCTACTGTCGCACGCGGTTGTCCATTCGGATTTCATAAAGTATCAAGCTGAGTTTGCTCAGAGACCTTTCCGTCATGTTGCGAGAGTTGTTGATGAAATTACGAGAGGACTGTAGCGACCGTTGGAGTAGGATTTTGAAGGAAGAAGCACTTGTGAAAAATGGTTCGGTTGGGGTTCGAACTTGCGTCCTATGCTCTATCTGTTGTACTAGGTGCCGATCTCTTCATCCGAGTAATGAAGCATTACCCTAACCTCAGCGAACTAGCCGGAGAATGCATCTCAGCAATCACCTCGGAAAATGTCATCTGCGGTTCTGGAGCTCCAACGACCATTAGATTTTCCGACACAATTCAGTTCCACGTAGAAACAGCAGGTTACTACGGTGCTGGCCTCGGATATAAAGTTTGGCCGGCGGCGATTGCTTTGTCTCGAGCTATTCATAACGGAGATATCGACCTAGGTGAACATTCGAGAGTCATCGAGATAGGTTCGGGAGTTGGTCTTGTCGGAATCGCGGCAGCAGCGTTTGGGAAGGCATCTCATGTTTGTTTCACAGACATGATGGAAGGCTTATTGGATATCGCAATGAGGAACGCCAAGAGGAACTTCCCTCATGGGAGCTTCAGTGCTAAAGTAGTTGATTGGCGAGATCCCGAAGGTATGCCAAATGATGCTGATGTCATGCTGGGAGCTGATGTCATATACGAAGAAGCTCACGCTGAGTTGATACTCGGCCTCCTACGGCACTTCCACGGGAACAGGGCTGTTCTCGCTCTGATGACCCAACGCCCGGGTTACGGCAGTTTCACTTCGGAATTGGGAAACCTGAAAGGTCTGCAGGTGCGCCAGATCTCTGTTCCTACTATTATAGGAGATTGCTCTATACTGCAGCTCTCGCTGCGTGATCAAGTTTAAAACTATAACTATAACTATCACTATTATCATCTTACCAATGTGTCTCTGTTATCTAGCAGACAAGACAAGCAAAGTGTTGGGTTCGAATTGAAAGCTACAGAGGCGGCACATTGATGAGGTTCTTTATCCCGCACAAAGCTACCGATTCAGTTGTTTCTCATGAGGTGTCATAAGCTCTATTTGTAAGAGGTCTTCTATATACAGAGATATCACTATACAGTGATAGACTTTAAGGGTGAGGCTGCCCACATAATTGTAAAAGAGGCTGTCTGGGAATTTTAGGGGCATAAAAGTAGACCAGAGTTTGTAGTATAGATTGAGTCTATCGGAATGTACCTCGTAAATGGGGCCACTATGCCAGAGGTAAATAACATTCAGGAATGTATCTTGTGAGTAGGGCCACTATGCCAAAGGTTCATAACATTCAGGAATCTATCTTGTGAATAGGGCCACTATGCCGAAGGTTAATAACATTCAGGAATCTATCTTGTGAATAGGGCCACTATGCCAAAGGTTGATAACATTCAGGAATCTATCTTGTGAATAGGGCCGCTATGCCAAAGGTTAATAACATCATGATCATTGACAACAACTCGCAACGTACGCATGCTCGAAATGGCCCGAATTGCAATACATAGCCCTACTTGCTCTGCCACTAACTAACCTTGGGTGTTAACGATAGCTTACTCAATCACTGCAAATACGTCAAGCAAACCGCAAGTGAACAGCCCTCCTCACAAGGGGGGATAAAAACCGTACCGGACATCGTCCGCGCCTCTGAACTCCCTCGAGTCCGTGACGTCTTCTCAATTGATACTACCCGCCTCAGATGAACACAACATCCACTTATTCTTCGAGCTACATTCACGTAAGAATCATCATGCAGTAACATCCTTGACTTGAGGGGCCGACGCCTCTCGTGTGCCGCCTGAACAGAACCATCCAAATCAAGCCAGGCACGTATCCATTTCCACCCTTGGTGTCTTCCGATATTAAAGTGCTCCCCGTTGCCAACGGGCTTCGAGAGCTCTTCCCCAAGGCATTCTCCAACTCCTGATATGCTGATCGCTGTATGTTCTGGGTGTTTTGAAGACGCTAAAAAGACAATACAATTGACCATAATTAATGTCAAACTGCTCTTCGCAAGCTATGTACTGGTACTAGTCATATTGTTGGACTTCACAAACGCATACCACACTTCTACCAACCTATCCCACTTGAATAAGTTCCATCTCCTCCTTCTCCATAGCCGATACCAACGCCTCAGTACGGGCTCGAATACTCTCTTCCTGCTGCACCTTATTCTCATATTCTATTCGAGTGTTCTCCAACTTGCGAAGCTAAAACAACACCATACTATTCCTACCAACCCAAGCCTTCACCTTTTCCTCTTCCATTCTCTTCCTCGCGTTATCCCTCTGACTCCTGATCACCTTCGCCCTGCTCGTATTGAGCCCTCTGAACCACGACGCTGCTAACACCACTCTTTCTCCCATATTACATATCCCTGATCCACTTCTCCTGCTTCTGTTGTTGTAACTTCATCTGTTCCTCTCTACCTTCCCGTACAAGATGCCGCTTACTTTCCAACACAGCACCCTTCGAGGCCTGCACAATTACCTCTTGCTATCTCCACCAATTACGGCAAGTCTCACCTCCCTCAGCTGCCTCGCCTTGTCCTTCAGGAAGGCGTTCCGTGCTTGAGTGGCGCGAACTGCCTGCCACTGCTTTTTATGCAACTATTGCGACCACAATTAAATAGCGAGCGAACACCTATATGGTTCACCTCTTCCTTGGCAAGGACTTTGGCTTCATTCTCGGCACGTAACGTGTTGATCTGCTCGGCTCTGGATATCATAGGTTGACCATAGAAGATACACAATAGGTCTCAGAGTTTACTTTCTACGGGTTTCCTGTATTTTCTTCCAAGCTTTTTCTTCCTCCTGCTTCAACAGAGCTATGCGATTAGCAAGCAGCTGAGCATCCAACTCTGTCCTCTTTCGAGACTCTTTCGCCATCTAAGGCCGCCCCCATCGCCCTCCGACACGCAGGCCTCAACAAGCTTCTTCCTACCGTTAACGTTGCGCGCATCTGACTCACTTCCCCATGCAGCAGTTGAGACGTAGCCATATTTGTATTATGGGGTTGGTGACCTACACATGATTCAACATAAGATATGCCTACTACCAGGTGTACTCTGAGCCTTGTCCTGAACAGTACTGTCGGCGGTAGTTGAGTGATTCTCCATCAGAAAATGTAAAACTGGTGAGCGACATCACACATACCATCAATTCCCCGGATCAACTCAACGATGAGTTCATATCGTATCACCAATGGTTACAACGAACCCTCTCTTCCACCGACACAAAATCTTATTCGCGGTTGTCTACCCAAGGATCGTCCGATCGCTTACCTTCGAGAAGGACAACTTCACCACAAATGAGCCCATCGAGGCTTGGGCGTATCTAACTATAATCGCCGAATGCAGTAGGGAGAGAGGACCGACAATGGTCATCAGCGAGCAAAACCTGCCACTACAAAATCCGCAGAGGTTCGATCCTCAGGCTAACCAACTCGACACCACCAACCAGTCAAAAGCCAATGCGGCCACACCGAAACATAGCATGGAGGCTTCACAGACCTGTTCTAACAGAATTAACTGCCGGAAGCAACGCTATTGATATAACGATGAACGTGATGATCATTTGGCATTTGCTACTACTATTCCCCAACATGAATTGCATGAGCATGACAACCGCTACAGGTTTCCCGTGTACATCGAATTAACTGAGCGCATACAAAAACTTTTCAGCAAAGAGCATCGTGCACAGGCGGATGAATGAAGATAACAAGCTTAGAAATTACAAATATCTAAGGTCGCACATACCAAAGATACAAAACAGGTCCGGATGAGACCTTCGTGAATTAAGAGGCAAGCCTCTCATTGCACAGTTCCTTCTATTGTCGGCGTCCGCCCTGCCGGAGGGAACGGGGCGAATGGTATCGATAAAACCTCTTCCTCCAACACTAACGCCTATTAGAAAAAGCAAGATGCTGGTGCATCATCATGGATCGTTGTCCTAATCCTCCCTAGGGTGGAGAAAACTCTAAGCTAAGCCTGTGATGAGAATAGTCTACATTGATCAAGTGTAATCAGGCTGCTTTTAAAGGCATTCCCCTGCTATAACATCCAATGTGGCGTAAAGGGGCAAATCACAAGGGCTACCAAGGCAAGCAGCAAATACATTAGACGTACTTGTGCTCTTCATAGAAGTCGACAGTTCTCGATGCTGCGGGGATGTAGTAAAGGACGACACGCCCTGATGGAAGCATAAGCCTTCAATAACTCACCGTTCACACTGTTCTCACCCTAATAGGGAAGTAGAGTGTGAGCGCCCCTGTCGAGATGATGAACACGCCAGAGAGGACGCAGAAAAAGAATCAGAACCTGACAATGGGAACTACACCCGAGACCACTACCGATAACAATAATACGAGTTAGGAAGGTACGTCCGAGCTTGCTTTGATTCCTTAGTCGTAGCGTTCGATTAACGAACCGAAGCAAACATCAAATTGTCTTTACATTTCAGTGATCATACCAGCAACACCCAGGCCTCCGAATAAAGCAAGATCCGCTAAATTACGTTAGAGCCTCCAGGACGAATACTGTGGGCAGAATATGTACCTGGAAAATGCATTAACCAGATATCGAACCCGGAACCTCTCCTTACGATAACGAATGCACCACCATTAGACAACATGAGCCGCTTCCACTAAATCCGAGGATATACCGATGCTCGCCATCACAACATGCTAATCAACAGCAGCATCGATAACACCAAACACCAACAGCACAGGATGAATCAAAATCCACTTTACTACTATCAAATTCGTGTATGAATGTATTCTAACTCGAAAATCACTCGTTAAAATCTGACGAATACATCCTTTTTTCATGCGACGAGCTTTCCTGTCAAAATTCCTTCATATTGCATAACCGGCCCTCGTGTAGTAGCCAGCAGTGTAACCAAGATTAGGATTTGCTACCATTCGATCGAACTGCCACTGATACTATGCTGGAGATCATCGACTATAATACAAGGTCTAATGATGGCCACAGAAGTCTCCTGATAACACAGGTACCCGAGTGAAAGTGCCCTACATCACTCTAGCAGAGGAGCACAGAGCATTCTTCTCCACTTCCAAAGGCCCCAGGATCGACCCAGGGGTACTCCATTCAGAACAATACCGTTATACCACAACTATCCCTCCCATCATCGTCATTCTTGTGCTACGACATCGAGGATGTGCTCTCGTGTGCCAATAGATCGTCGATATATTCACTCAGAACGATTACCTTCTTTACCCCTCTTGCCAGGCGTACGAAGGAAGCACCGCATCGGAGTCCGATAGTGCTGTGTACAGGAAGGTTAAGATAGTCAGAGTAAAGATTAACTGAAGGAGTGGTATCAAAAATGGTTACACTGCTAACCAGACCAATAAGCACCAAGGTGGTATGAGGTCGTAGAGGACGGACAAGCACGAGTAGCGATAATGTCGAGGAAATACAACGACGTAATGACCTTGCGAAGTGATCGTGACGACGCGTGACCGCGCCAACCACGTCAACAACTATTAAGAATTTGATCTTCGGACTGGCCTGTGAAATATCCTGCAAACCGACAGTCGGTTAACGACCACAACATGATCCCTCGAGCCGACCTATGGTAGGCAATCGGTGTAGCACCGTCCTTCACGGAACGTACATCCGGAGTGAAAAGGCTTGGAGCATGATGTAAAGGATCCCTTTCCGGTTTCACCCGAGCGATTTTAGAGCGATTATGAGTGTGTAAAAACGCTCGCGTACTCGAGGTACATAATCGTCTCTTGATAAACTGTTCGGGCTGGCATCTCGCACGCAAACTACATTACATCCAGCATCTTCCCAGTACTACACCGAACTATGTTAAACGTACTGGCTTTCCGATATACATATATAATGTGATGCATAATTCCGAGTTTCAAGCAGAATTTTCAAGTAAGGAAAATTCTTCAGAGAAACTCGATACAATACCGTTTATAGACAATACTACCGTACTATGCTAGGATTCTTCAGTCTGGTGTGGTATAAGCTCCGTACACAAACTCCATTACATCCAGCATCTTCCCAGTACAACACCGAACTATGCTAAACATACTGGCTTTCTGTATACATATATAATGTGATGCATAGTTCCGAGTTCCAAGCAGAATTTTCAAGTAAAGAAAATTCCTCAGAGAAACTCGATACAACACCATATATAGACAGTACTACCGTACTATGCTAGGATTCTTCAGTCTGGTGCGGTATAAACTTCGTAACATTTAGGATCTTTCCAACACTACACAAGACCATGCCAATCATACTGGATTCTACATATATTAATATGTATGTTTTCGAGTTCCTAGCAGAAATTCCAAGTAGAGAAAATTCACCGGAGAAACTCAATAGACTATTGTTTCTAGGTCGTACGACCGTGCTGAGCGAGGGCTCTTCGATCAGGTGTGGTACGAACTTCGTACAGAAACTCAAATCCATCCACGATCTTCCCAGCACAAACTTAGACTATTTCTCTCCCATTTCATCATCTTTAGGGCTCCACACTAGTGACAACACAGTAACTACTACTTCCGACCGGCGTCAACCAAACACAACAATGCAACAGTAACTTACGATGACTCGAGACATAATCAAGAAGACGCAACACTTTCGATCGAGAGGTATATAAAAGTAACGTGGCCACAAATCGCCGACATAATTCAATAACAGACTCTTTCGTCGCATCCTCAGCTTATTGTGGCGGCGACGCATACCCGCTGCGATGCACACGATAGCACCGATAAAACCTTGGCAAGAATATAAATGCCAAGAGTGCGCATATTAACGCAATAACGAACCACCATACAACACTGTGCGAAGGGGCTTCATCCTGTGAACTACTAGCAATCACAATAGACCAGTCGTCCTCAAATAGAGCGTTCTTCGGAACAGGTGCCATATTCTTGATGTCGATACCACTAGGATAGAGGCGTCTCAACACTCCTAGGGGATTGTGAGGTACTTTCACCGAAACATTGCCGAGTAGCTTAGCCTCTTCTAAGGGAACATATCAGCTACAGAGATACATCCTCGAGAATAGTAGGGATTCTCGATGCACACTCTGGGAGAAGGA